ACAGGGTTTCACCATGTTGACCAGGATGGTCTCGATCTCTTGACCTCGTGATCCACCCGCCTCGGCCTCCCAAAGTGCTGGGATTACAGGCTTGAGCCACCGCGCCCGGCCAATAATTTTGTTTTTTCTACTTATCTATGAAGACTTTTTAGCTCCATGCTTCCCCTTAGAATATGAACCCCTAAGGTCAGGTACCCTGTACCCTTTCTTTTCTGAATATACCACCCCTCGTGCCTAGTTCAAGGCTTGGCACATGTTTTCTACAAAGGGCCATATGGTAAATATTTTAAGCCTTATGAGCCATGCAGTCTAGTCAGCTAGTCAATCCAACAAGTCAACCGTCATCATGCAACTAGTCAACCCTCATGTTTTTGTGCGAAAGCAGCCACAGATAACATGTAAACGAAGGAACGTGGCAGTGTTCAAATAAAACTTTATTTACAAAAACAGGAGCTGTGTTTTTAATACCCCTGGTCTAGCTCAGTGCCAGGATTCTAAATATTCGTTAAATGAATGACCAGATTATTAGAAATCATCTGAACTTCCCCATACCATCTTCCTTTTTCGGCCTTCCTACCTACTGTGGAGGTTGGCTTCCATTAGAATAATTAGAAGCCACAATGTAAATCATTCCCTGGGTGGTGTTCATTTTAAACGAATGAATAAATCATGGGTTAAAAAATGTAAACAAAAGAAACCCAAATATTTTCCCCAACATTTTCTTTTCCGGCCCGTTAGCAACTTGCTACTCAAAGGGTGGTCTCCAGATCAGCTGCTTTTGTAGCCTCAATCAGGAGCTTTGTGGAATCCCATGTGGGGCCTCAGAACCACTCAATCAGAATGTGTGTTAATCGATCCCTGGGTGATTCATGTGCACAGAACATTTTGAGAAGACTTGTGTTAGCAAATCCAATAGAGCCTCACCTAGTTGGGTGAAGTATTTCTCTCAGGGCTACAAACCGGCATTCTTGCTTTACATCAGCATTGACACTCTCACATCAATGAAACCATGGCAAGGGCTGCATGATTAGTTTGAAGACTGCACTACATCCAGAAAGAAGAAGCTAACAAAGAACCATCACATCTTGTGGAATAAGGAGAGAGAAACTATGAGTGTGAGGGTGCTTTAGATGGAATGCTCAATAAATATTTTCGGAAGAAAAATGAAAGAAGGGAGAAGGGAGAAAAGGAAGGAAGGGAAGAAATTTCAGTGGTTTCCATATGTAAATCAAATTATTAGTAGATACCTAGTTTCAGTGTCTCCATCCATAAAGTAGGTGTTTTTTAAACATGCAAGTAGAAATTGTAAGTATGGTTAAAGTTGAGTACAATGTTTTATCAAAGGGTAACAATTTCAAGTAATGTATTCCAACTTTATATTTCATATTTTAGTATCTATTATTTTAATCTCATCCATTCATCCCTTTGTTTATCAAGCACCTGCTTTTACGTGGTTCTATTTCAAGTGCTTGAGACACAGCCTTGAACCTGAAAGGTGGTGCCCTACCCTCATCGAGCTAGGAGTTCAGTGGTGAAGCTGAGCTTCGATTTTGTAGAGGAAAGTAAAATAAGCAAATCTAAAACACTTCCTCACCAGTCTGCCTAAAATTGCAAGCAGTAAAAAAAGTTCCCTGCATCTAGCAGCCCTTGATTCTATAGTCCATGAAGTAATACAATTGTGCATGTATAACCCTGTTAAATTAAATTAAATAAGCAGGAGGCTTTTAGCCTGAGGCAGTCTCTTTACTCTGAGTATCTATGTAACAAATTGCAACCACACTTAGTAAGTAAACAAACCCAAACCTACTTTATGAGTATACTTTTTTGTAACAAATAGCCAGCTTGTAGCCAATCACAAATAGCTGAGCTTTAGCCAATCACTAGCAACCAATTAATTAGACCATTCCCTAATAAGGCAGACACCTCATCACATCATGGCCAAATAAGGCAAAAGCCTCATTGTACCCAATCAGATAGATTTTCTACTTTGCTTCCATGCTTGGCTTATAAAAGCTTACTGCTCAAGTCACTGGGCCGTGTGCTCTGAACCCCTTTTGGTTTTGAGTGCTGTCCAATGTATGAATTGTTCCTTGCTCACAACATAAAGTGTGTTTAATTTGATTTGTCTAATTTTTTTGACACTTCAAATTGGTATAATATAATGCAAATAAAATAAGCTAGTAATGCATTAATTCTCCATCCATTCACTTATTCAACAAATAATTACCAGAGCATCTACTACCCATAAGACACTGAACAAAGATGATGATGGTGATGATGCTGCTGATTGCTGCCTAGGTCTCAGGCACTGTGCTAGGTGACTACATGCAGTATCTCACATAACTATTTGGTAAAGTCTATGAGTTAGACACCATCCTTCATACACAGATAAAAACTCTGGTTCAGAGGGACAATAACTTGCTTGAGGTCTCAGCTTGTAAATGGAGAAGGATTTAACCTTCTTGGGAAGGAGAGAGCCCAGAAAGAAGAGGCAAAAAAAAAAAGAAAGAAAAAAAAAATCCACCTACCAGGCCCTTAAAGAAGCCCCCAAGGGACTGCTGCCGCTTCTCAGGTCTCTTTTGGAGCTTGTCCCCGTTCTGCAGTGAGTTCGTGTCCACCGTGGCCTGCTCTGTGCACTGGGCTGGTTCTTTGGCTTCCTGCTTGTTGCTCTTCTGCTTGTTCAACTCGGCTGCTGACTTCTTGTCCTTCGAGGAGCCGTCTTTGCCCTTCTGGGGTGTTCCTGTTAGTTCTGGCTCTGGCGGTGTGATAGTCTTTTCTGTGGAGTCTGATGTCTACAGCAGTTTCAAACAAAGCACATTTTTAGTGGCTGCAAGACAACTCTTAGTTGCAAGGGAATAAATATGTTAAAACGGAGATGTTCAAATGTTGGGTGGTATCTACGTTTTCATAATTCCTAGGTGAAATGGAAGTGAAAAAAGAACAATGTGCACTTATGAAGTCATGGTGGGGAGATTTATTTAGTTATCTGACAATCCATTAATAAATTTTATGCTATCCCAGAAAAGCTCTCTTCGTCCCTTATTCTGGTACCAGAACTTGGCTTTTCCTTGAGGAAACATCCTTCTTCCTCATCTACTCCAAGTGGTCCAGGCAAACTACTTCCACCTCTAGACAAGAGCATGTGACTTAGGCCTGGATGATCAGAGTGTTGCATGTGATTAGCCTGCTGTGACTGGCTCAGCAGAGACTAATGCAGGTAACACCGAAGCTGATCTCAGAGCTTTGCTGAAATAATCAAGAGAGAGGCTGGTTCCCTTTCTGTTAGATTTGAAGCTGTGAAGATGTAAGACTGGAGCTTCCAGAATCACCAATATTTCTAGGGAAAATCTTTCTGAAAAGGAAGCCAACACAAAGAAAAGCACAGCTGAGAGGTCAAGAGAGAGAGAGAGAAAGACCAGGCACTGATAGTATGCTGTGCTCCTTCTAGATCTAGCTGTTCCTGAAACCCTTTTATGTTTCAGCCAGCTTGGAGGGGGCTACTCCCACTTGCAGCCACATGTGAGTTTTTTTTGGGGGGATGCGGGGATGCCCCTTCTTTTCTCCATGATCTATCCTAATTTTTGGTGTGAAATTGTCCTTTTGCTTCATGAAATGGTGGCAAAAGAGATTATTATTTTATTGGTTTTGGATGTATATCCTTTTTTTTTTTTTGTCAAAATGAAAGGTTTACAAGCCCACATGGTTCCAATAATTTGATGAGATGAGGCTGTAAAATCCAACATTCTAGTAAATGCAGGCTGGGGTAAGAATAATCATTTGGATATCTGATTTCTCCAGCTGCAAAAGCAACAACAGTCCAAAGAAATATTTCTCTAGTGTAGGGAAAGCACCAGTTCAAGCAAGGCTGGCTTTGATGTTGGGGAGAAAATTTAGAGTAAGGGAGACTGAGTGTTACATGCCCTGTCCAAAGGGCAACAGTTGTTGCAATCCAGCCAAGAGACACCACATAGGCCTGCAGCCCCAGTGTGGTCAGAGCGCTTGTATTTACCAAGAGGACCCTGAAATTAAATTTTTAAAAATGCAAAATATGTCGTTTTTTAAATTTTGTTTGTTTTTTTAAGATGGAGTTTCGCTCTCGTTGCCCAGGCTGGAGTGCAATGGCGTGATTTCGGCTCATTGCAACCTCTACCTCCCAGGTTCAAAAGATTCTCCTGCCTCAGCCTCCTGAGTAGCTAGGACGACAGGCATGCATCACCACACCTGGCTAATTTTGTATTTTTAGCAGAGACGGGGTTTCTCTATGTTGGTCAGGCTGGTCTCGAACTCCTGACCTCAGGTGATCCACCTGCCTTGGCCTCTCAAAGTGCTGGGATTACAGGCATGAGCCACCACACACGTCATGTTAAGTTTTAAATATTGACTTCAAAAGTTTTAAAGCCCCAATTGTGGTAAACAACTGGCAAATACAATTGACCCACCAGATACAGGCGTATAAGCCTGATTCAGGAAGTTATGTACTGTCCCCAGGTAAAAAGTTCTAACAAGAACTTTTCCTTTATTCTTTAGAATAAAGAAAACAAGGTAGCAGCTTTGATGGAGAAGGCATCAGAGGAAGCTTTTGATGGAGAGCTTTCCTTTCACACCAGTGAATCATGTACACCCCTTAGAAATAAGTGGGAAGATAAACAGCAGAGACTCCCCAGTCCAGAAGGCCTCCACAGGTGCTCTTCAGAGGACAGAAATCCTTGAAGCAGCAGCAGACATCCAGTGTACCTTGAGAAGCTCTTCTGCAATACATGTCCTGAACACTTCTAGCAGAGCCCAGCTGTCAGAGTTGCAGTAAATGCTAAGATATGCATGTCCAAGTACAATAGATAGCCCAGAGCAGATACTCTCCTTAGAGTGAAACAGAAACTCTCACCACAGCGCTCTTCAGAAAGGCCAGAAACCAGAGATCCCAGTTCAAATGCCTTGTTAACTGTTTTTGTTGTGTAGAAAAGTCTAAGATGCAGTGAGTGGCTAAGAGCTCAGTGGCTGTAGTGAGAGGGACCCGGTTTGATTCGAATTCCATCATAACCTTGCTGTGTGACCGAAGATACTGACCTCTCAGTTTCCTCATCTGTACGGGAGCAATAAGACATGACACCTTATGGTGCTGTGAGGATTAAATCAGCTAAAAATGGAAAGGACACGCCAATGTTCTCAAGTCTGAATCCAAGGCTCTGGAAAGTAAAATTCCCAATTGGATTCTCAAAACACTCCTAGGTGGGTATAAATAGAATGACGTTTCCAGCTTATTTGGATTTGTATGGATGTCATTCCAATTTTAGAATCACCGAGATTATTGGCATAATTGCGTCACTGTAAAATTCCAGACAAAATGTACCATCATATTTAAGCTTTTCTTTTTGAATAAAATAATTGTATCCTGTTTTTAAATAATAATCTTTGGGAATTTTGGTTCCAAAGTTGTCTAGGGAATTAGTTTGGGGGTCAGGTATAGTCATAACTTAAGAAACAAAATGAGTATAGTACATAGCAATATATTTCCTGTTTAAAATGTAGAATAAGCCCATTATTATGGAAATAAAAATATCATAACTTATTTACAGTCATTGCGGTCCATTTGTGTATGTGATATGGGTGGGCAACATTATAAGCTGGAAATTCCCCATCAGCAGCATAATAGTAATAGTGACAAATAGATACTGTTAGCAATAGAATTGTGCCCCTACCCCAACACATATGTTGAATCCCTAACTCCCAATGTGATTATATTTGGAATAGGAAGTAATTGAGGTTAAACAAAGGCATAGGGTGGGGCCCTGATCCAGTAGGATTAGTGTCCTTATTGGAAGAGATATTGGCGAGCTTATTCTTCTCTCTCTGCCTTGTAAGGACACATAAGCAAGAAGGTGGCCATTTACAAGCCAGGAAGAGAGCCCTCACCAGGAACCAAACCCTGCTGATTTGGTTACTCCTTAATCCTATCTGTTCCAGCTACAAGAACTTAGAGAAAATACATTTCTGCTGTTTAAGCAACCACCTACGGCATTTTGTTATGACAGCCCATGCTGACTAATATAGTAGCGACATGTATTGAGCCTTCTGTACCAGAAATGATCTAAGTGTTTTACATGTGTTGATTCATCTAAGTATGACAATCCTACGAGGCAGTACTTTTCATAGCCCCTCTATATAGATGAGGAAGTTAAGGCACTGGCAGATTTGGCAATTTGCCTAACTCACACAGCTAAAAAATAAAAATAAATAAAAAAAATGGCTGAGCCAGGATTTAAACCAGACAGTTTGAATCTACCACTCATTCTTGTAGCCATTTCTCTGTATTGACAAAACTACTAGAAGAATATTTGATGCCATTTTTTTGTGTGTGGAAGTGTATTTTTAAGTTAAAAAAAGAGTACAGTTACATGATCCCATTTAAAAAAGGAACAAATGTAGTTATAAACATGTCATAGCTATGTTTCTTTAGAATAAAGAAAATAATGAAAGTAAACTGTGTGACCTCCCCCCAATATCTTTAACTATTCTGTTCAAGACATAGATTCTAGTACTTGCCAGACATTGTGCAAGATGATAGAGAAATAGAAGATTTCTTGCTCCACAGACATTCCAAGTAGACATGAGAAAGGGCAGGGGAGATAAATAAATTATTACAATTTGCAATGATGCAGTGAAATAAAACAATAAGATGTAGTTATGAGAGGTGGACATGGAAGGTCTTTTTGAGGAGGTGACATTTATGGCAAAAGTGAAGGGTGAGAAGAAATTTTTAACTCAGAAAAGAGGGAAGCACACGTGTGAAAACTTTTTGATTGAATATAGCTGAGGACCTCTAGCTTGCTCAGGCTTGTGTCTGCAGATCTCAACATAGTCCTCGGTATACGGTAGGTGCTTAATCCTGAGATGTTAAATGAGTTGGCTGTGGCTGAGAATTTTATTGAAAATTAGACTGTGAAGCAGTGAGAATACACCAGTGAATCCCACCACCAAACTGAGTTCAAGGTCACTTACTTGGTAGCTGGAGTCTTTCCCATTTATTTCTTCTGTGTGGGTGATCCCTCCATCCCCTTTCACTGACTAAAATAACAAACAGACAATGGCCTTCAGCCACCACAAGTACAGTAACATGGAGAATGCAAGAAAGTTCTGAAATGGATGATCCCAGTCATTTATCATTGAGGTTTGGGATCAAGACAAATGGAAGACCAACTGGAAACATATTACTCATGGGATATAGAGATTTCCATGCAATTTGTAACCAGATCTAATTAAATTCAAGTGTTGGCCTCCAAAAATAATAACAAAAGTACTAAATCCTGGAATTAGGCAATTTGAGACAAATGATGATGGTTCCAATTAATGTTGGAAGCCGGAGTTGGTTGAACACATTAAATGAATGCCTGAATGAACAATTGACCCATGAGTAGCCTTCCACTGGGAATATTTAGGTTTTGGGTGTTTTATTGCTTTTTTTTTTTTCCTCCTTGACAGTTATCAGTTTTGTTGAGTATTTCATTTTCAGAGTTACCAGTTTTGTTGAGTATTTCATTTTCAGAGTTACCAGTTTTGTTGAGTATTTCATTTTCAGAGTTACCAGTTTTGTTGAGTATTTCATTTTCCACCCTTTAGCACCCTCTATAGCCAGCAACACCAGTGACACGGATGAATGGGGCTGGCCTTGACTCAAACTCCACACTCTATGCTAATGATTCTAGAAATATGATTCCAGGAGCAGCAGCTTCAGCACCACCTGGGAACTTGTTAGAAAGGCAAACGCTGGAGACCCACTCTGGATCTAGTGAATCAGAAACTTTGAGGGGCGGGGCCTCAACAGTCTGCATTTTAATAAGCTCTCCAGGTGGTACCGAGGGTTGTTTGAATTTGAGCACCACTGCTCTCAGCAAGTTGGCCATATACAAGTTCAGACTCGTGCTGGGGCCTGTGGTTTTAACGGTGCATTTAGTAATGTCCTATGCTTAGTGCTTGACACCTAAGAAATCTGGTAATAAAATGCTCAGTTCTTACCAACAATATCGACTCAGGTCAAATTCCCACATATTTGGTCACTGCGTAATGTCTTCTCTTCCCAGCTATGGGAGGAGTATAGCGAAGAGGGTTTCAGCAAGGTGGGGAAAAGAGGAGACTCTAGATTCCCCTGTTATTTACGGCCTTGGCTGTTCTCTTGGCAGGCAGTAAGAATCCACAACACATGCGCTAAGAACAGCCACATGGAAGGCAGAAAACACCTTTTGACTGATTAGAATTATGTATTTTTGTTATCTGAGCTATGATGTTCACTTTAGAGATAATACAAATTATTATTTATGAAGGATAATTTGTAGTGGAGTGCTTACTAAGTGCCGGGCTTGGTGCTAAATGAGATAATAACTTGCATTATTTCATTTATTCATTATGTCAGAACATTATGATACAGGAATTACATTATTTCTCAGGGAAGGAAAGGGAAGCTCAAAGATACTAGCATCACCATAGAACTAGCAGTTTAAGTGCCAGTATTGGACAGCAGGCAATGACTCTGTATTCCAGACTCTAAACCACCTCCCCATGCTGCTCCCAGAAGGTAGGTGGCACCACCCAATCAATAAACGTGTATTGAGCATTCACTGTATGAAGTTGCTTAATGTTAGATTAAACAAAATGATGAAAGTTTGGATGAGATGGAGGATGACCAAACTCAAATACGGATGTTTATGGGATGCCCCCTCATCAGGAGTCAACTGTGCTCTTCTTTATTTTTGCTATTATTATTTTTAAGAGACAGGGTCTCACTCTGTCACTCAGTCTGGAATACAGTAGCACAATCATCATTAACTGCAGCCTCAACCTCTGTGGCTCAAACAATCCTCCTGCCTCTGCCTCCCAAATAGATAGGACTACAGGTGCACACCACCATGTCCAGTTATTTTTTTTCTTTTGAGACGGCGTCTTACTCTGTTGCCCAAGCTGGTGTGCAGTGACATGATCTCAGCTCACTGCAGCCTCCGCCTCCCAGGTTCAAGCAATTCTCCTGCCTCAGCCTCCTGAGTAGCTGGGGACTACGGGTACCTGCCACCACGTCCAGCTAATTTTTGTATGTTTAGTAGACACAGGGTTTCACCATGTTGGCCAGGCTGGTCTTGGACTCCAGACCTCAAGTGATCCGCCTGCTTTAGCCTCCCAAAGTGCTAGGATTACAGGTGCGAGCCACTGTGCCTGGCCCAGCTATTAAATTTTTTTTTTTTTTTTGTAGAGTTGGAGTCTTACTATGTTGCCCAGGCTGGTCTTGAGCTCCTAGGCTCAAGTGATCCTCCAGCCTTGGCCTCCCAAAGCCCTGGGATTACAGACACACTGCTCTTTCTAATATACTGCTTGGTGTGAAAGAGGTGGTATCTGGAAGCTCCATGTACTGAGGAACGTCATTGTGTGGGTTTTGCTAAGGTTTTCAACCCAATGGCAAATAAAGATCAGACTGTTTTCTTTACAAAATTTAGATCTATCTACATGGAAAGTGGGTTTTTCCTTCCTCTGTGTCTTGTGCATTGTTCTACAAAGGCCAGTCTTGCTTGAGAAGGTTTAGAAAAAAACATAAACTCTTGGTTATTTCTTTCCTCCTCACAAACAGCTCTGTTAGCCTTCCCATCATACCCAGAGCTTTGGATACGCAGGGATTTCATTTAGCCTCCAAATTCAGGCTGTGTCATAAGAGCGCTTCCTACTCAAGGACATTCCCAAGTGGCCTTTAGACTATGACTTTGGATCACATCTGTCAGCCTCTGGGGAATGTTGAGCGACAAACAAATGCACAAAATGGCTTTTTAGACAAAAACGGAATGGACATGAAGAGTCATGCATGACCAGTCCACCACCTTCTAGGAATAAAGTCCCCTCACTTCCCCCCAGGAGAGAGGAATTTTAAACTTCCCCTTAGTTGTTTCAGTTTGGCATTCATTAGGGACTCTGCCAATTTAAAGTTTCAGTTTGCTTTCTTTCCCCCCATTTCTCTGAGACTCCTTGGAGATGAATTGGGATTGAATCAGAGGCTATGTTGACAGCAGCAGATCTCAGCTGACATCATGAAAACAGACCTCTAGGCTGTCAGGGAGGTTACTGCAAAGAAGTTCAACTTCTTAAAAAAATAAATGTATGTATGCAAAGGTGACTGAAGGTCAGATTTAGACTTAGAATCTTATTAAGTCCATCTGAAGTCACTTCTGTAATAGCAGTTATTATTAACAATTGTTCCCTCCCTCTCTCTCTCCCAACCTCCCTCCCTTCCTCCCTTGCTTCCTTCTCATTTCTTCCTTCCTCCCTTCCTTTCTCTTCCTTTTCCTTCCTTCCTTCTTTCCTTTTCTTTTCTTCTTTCCTTCCTTCTTCCCTTCCTCTCTGTCTCCTTCACTTCCCTTCTTTTCTTCTGTTTTTCTTTCTCTTTCCCTCACTTCCCTCCTTTTCTTCTATCCCTTCTTTTTTCTTTGCAGAGATAAATCAGGATAATTCATGTTGAACTTTGTATTCAAAGGAACCATAAACACAGAAGCTTATTTTTTTCCAGCTGTCAAAAATAGCAAAGTTACTGTTTAA